ACTTGGCTGCCACAAACTGACGACCAATCCGGCTTGCGAAGGACGGGGTACCTGGCTCCCCGATCCCGGGGCTTCTCTCTCCTCGCGCTGCCGGTCAAAGTCCCAGCGAGCCTGGATGAGGGACTCTGTTTTCTCGCGGACTGGCTCGCCCATCCAGGACTCATAATCTCGCATGATGCGTCCGAGAACCCAGGAATTATTTCCCCGGACGTAACCATTTTTGCCGTTGATAAGACAGCAGGCTGTGTCCGCATCTGGCATCAGCCTGTACTCGCCGAGCGCAGAACATATGGATGAGGCCGCATAAGAAACCCATCCTGAGGACAAAAAAATAAGCAAAAGATATCTTATTTACTTTTTTAAAGTCGTCCTACGTACCAAATGAGAAGGCAACTGGAGTGATCCAACCCCCGGCCAGCTGTGCGAGAGCGCGATGGATCAAGTCGCCTCCAATCAGGAGCAGGATAGTAAAGGCATAATTGGATGGGTTAGACCACTCATCCGCAAAAGCAGCGCTTGTCGAGCCTGGGTCAAATTCACGGCGCGGGAAGAGATGTCGAAGAGCCGGGGCCATGGTAGGAGAGGAAGGTGTATGATGGTTCAGTGGAGAGGATCAGGAGATTCAGACAAGAGACGTTAGGACTTAATGCTTATCGTGGGTCAAGATAATGTTGCAGAAAATGACTGTGCGGGCTATGCTCAGCAGGCTATTATTGCTTTTTATGGATTACAGCAGCTTGTGTGTGCATTAGCGCCACCATCGTGTTCAGTTTCAGCCAGCCACTCCATTTTCTACTGGACCAATGACAAACATACAATTTCCCTCTTGGCATATCCCCCCAAGCCAGCCTGTACCAGTTGATGTACTCTTCATCCACTTCTCCTCAGGCGTTGCCATATATGTATGCAAGGCGAGTCTGCGGATGCGCTATACCATTACATAACAAACCAGGCACTATCACTGTCGAGAAATCGCACATCCACCAACTCATCCCCATAAGCTTCCAGAGCTCTGATTCTCGCTAAGGAGAGGTGCTTAAACCAGTAAGCCCCGTTCGCAGGGCGATTGGACAAGCCCACGGCTGCCAGACAAGGCTTTCCACCGACTTTAGGGACCTTTGACAAAATCACGGCATACTGCCTTTTGGCCCACCGAACATTGTTTGGCAGAAACTGGAGGACAAGCGATTTGTGATCAATGTTGCTCCCCCGGGCGGCTGACACTCTACATTGGACCTCGCAGCCATGCTGAAGGGCTCCAAATGGCACGTTGTCATCGGCAAAGTCCACTAGAAGCCCCGGATACCGAACCGGAAGGCCTACCTGGCCGTTTATCTTCTCAAGAGTGACAGTCTCGCTCTCGTCCGGGCACGTCAACCGAGGAGTCCGAAAGTTGAGCAACGACTTCGGAGCCCACCTGTATCCCGCCTTGTCGAGGCGTTCATAATTGTTGAAAATCACGGACTTGTCAAACGTCCCTAGTTGTTCCAAGAAAGCCGCCATGCGCTCCTCTGCAACTTCCTCGTCATCGTCGCCTGAAATCGCCTGTATCTTGTGAAGATCGACGTCGATGATCGTTGCCATGCACACTGTTTCATCCGCGAGTCGTGTACTCCTCCGTGGTGACAAATGGTGCGCGAGAGGTTCATAGAGCATCCACTTTTCCTTGACTTGCTTCATGAGACCCCTCAATGCGGAGTACAGGTCGAGCAGCCTTAGATTCGCCGCGAAGGGGAATCCTAGATACTTTCCTGACATTTCCAGGTGTTCACGGTTATAGGTCATGAACTCTTCTGCCAGCGCGTTTAATTCGACTGGCCGATCGGAGAACTGTATGTATACCAAGGATGGTAGAAACCCTTCTTGGTGAGTCCAGAGGCGCTTGATCCAGTTGGACAGATACAGACGAGCGACTTTATCCAGCGCCGGAGCGGTGGATGGGATTCTCTGGATGAACTTGTCCAAGACCAGGACAGCTTTCGCCTTTGAATAGACGTGCCGCATATTCTGGATCGCCTTGCGCTTGCGGTCTTTGTCTAATGCCGGGACGCCTTCATTCAGTTAGTCTTGAACCCGTCCAGACATTCGATGAGGTTACATACACAATGTGTCCATCCAAAAGCCCACACCATCCGAGTTGTTGGGATCTTCTGGCAAAGGTCTTCGGCCTTCCCACCGCACATTTTCCACGAGATGTGTGATGCGATCTAGCTGGCATTCTGGGAGCCAATTCGCCGCCCGATTTCCCATGCCGTCAGCCCACCTATGACGAAAGGGTCAGCATCTCGCATGCGTAACATAAGACGAGGGGCAGAGACGCAACTGGTGTTAGATTCATGACGTTTTCGCTCAGGGTCGATGCTTACACATGGGATATAGCCACATAGTCAGGCGTCCTGTGACCACTTAAATGGTATTCCACCGACCAAAGTGTACGCAGTCCTTTGGCCCAAAGCGCAATCGGGATGGCATTCTTATCGATAATTCTTGCGATGGCATCGTCCCATCCCTTTTGCCCTCTTTCAGGTCCCATCTGTCCGCCATAGCTGATCGACTGCGCGGTCGGACAGTTGGGCTTATGCCAGGGAGCCACATGCCGGGGGTGGTAAAGCTCTGTAGGGAATTCTTCCAGGCAACGCTCCCTGACACACTTCGAATGTCGATCCAGTTCATCCGGGCTTAAACTGGGAGACGCGGCAATGTAGTATTGGCCGTCGATCGGCAGGTCTTTGATGATGGTAGTCGCATCGGCGAGACACCACTGGCGCTGTATACGTCTGGCTAAGATCTCGGACCGAGCGTCCAGCCACGGGTTCGTAACGCTGATCCCACGGGGCTCGCAGACGCTGATTGCTGCACTGCGGAGGGAGAAGACCATGGCGATCAGCGTGGTCGAAATCTCGTCCCGTACGGGCCACCGCGGAGGCTTGTCGTTTCCCCAAAGATTCCTCTCTTCATCTGGTGTGCAGAAGCAGTCAAGGATCTGTCGGGCCCTCTCAAACATCCGGTTCGCTGCCGTCCATGCCTGTGCCTTATCCCGTATTCCATTCCTCCATTCTTTCAGCTTGCACGAAAGGATTGACGTGTTGACAATCCTTACTAGTCTTTGTTTTCGATTGTCGTCCTGTGACGATAACCTGAGAAATTCCACTTCGCCAGGATCTGACAGATCTTTAACCTCGAGGAAATCTTCTGTCTTGGTACTGACACCGCCAATTTTCAACACTTCAATGACCAGCCCGAAGAAGAGCCACGTCTGGAAGAACTCTTCCACTTTCGAGTCGGCCACCTTCCATTTGGCACCATTCCCCTCGAGGTATCCCTTTTTGGTGGTGTCGCCACCGGGAAGCTGGTCGTCAGTCCAACCTCTTCGCTTAGGAAAATCTAGAAAGCCTTTGTGATCGTACCATTCCCCTGGGGGAGCGTTGTACGGAGCAACAATAAAGTGTTTTTTTCCTTCGGGTAGGGGTAAATGCTCCATTTTCCGTTTAGTCGTCCTTCGATAACTTGTCTCTTTAGTTGGCAGCGCACTGTAAGCAGCGGCATATATGTGTATGATAGTCTGTAGCGGGCCAGTTTGGGGGGTGTCAGCCAGCCACTGCAGCTCAGGTGTCTCGTTGGCATCCCACCATGAGCCACTCTCATCCTATCGGCTCCCGTATATTCATCGCACGTCATGGGGTGTGAGAAGCAGGTCGAATCTGCCTTTGAGACTTCTCCATCTGCACCATTCCTCGCGGATCACACCAATCATACCGCCGTCCTAAGCGCCTTTGAATCCCCTCGGTTTCAAGCATCAATCTGGTATCCTTGCCATTAAACAGACGTCTTGCTGTAAATACACTGTATGTCCTTCCTAGCTCCTTAGGCAGCCTTACTGCCCTGACGCCAACTTTATTCATTTTCATAAAAGGGAGTCAATCCAGACTAGCTGATCCGATCCCAAATCAGTCAATCTGGTTGCTGCATGGTCCAACCGCAGCCATGGGGGTAGGAAACAATACGATCTGAGTACTACCTTAGCATGGGTATATCTATTATCCGAAGTTCAACCCGCATAGATACCACGGACTTACGGAGTCAGATGGGTGGTGGATCAATCCAAATCCAACCCACAGCAAGTCTAAACAAAGTCCTCCCACAGTAAATCTTCCTCTGTAAGATTAACCAATGTAATTCTTGGCCATGAGATATCATCATATCCTCCCATAGTATTCTTTTCTAATTATCAGATTTGTAATTCAGCAGAACGAATACTTCCCTTGGATAGTATATGCGCGTCCATAGAGATCATGGCGTCTTGAACCGCTGATGACTGTGTATGAACAGAAATATATAGAAGTTTAGACTAAATATGCTTAGTTATCTACTATTATTATATATCTCAAAAATCGCTCTATTTTATTCGGATTAAATATAAAATGTGTATGATGAAAAACATTAAATATGAGGCTGCTATAAATTCTCAGGCCAAAACTAGAAGGCCAAAACTAGAACCAAAATAGATCTGATCTGAGTTGGTGTAGTTTAAGCATGTTCTAGGCCTAGTGATTCCATGGGGAATCACCATTGTAACCTTCTTAGTATTGTAGATAGTAGCTGCCTAGAACACTACCTTCTTACAGTGGGATAGTTACTGTTCTGCATGTTGTTGTAGAGCTATTCTTAATTATTCGATACCAATTTGGAGTATGTGAGGGAGCAGTGTATGGCTCTGAAGACTTGAGTACCAGCCACCCAAGAGATTATTTGCTGTCCTTCGCCGTCTCGGATGGATTCCTGTATACGAATTGCCGTTTATGCTATGTCTATCGCATGCAAGAAACACAGCTTAGCGATAAGTGAGAGTGCAGAGATTTCGGCTTATGGTAGTCATGTCTGTACAGGGACCACCATAGACTTCTCCTCGTTTCTCAGTCTCATTGGATTCTGTCAAAGGGTCTAGGGACCACCAGCGTGGAACAATCGCAATGCATGGGAAACGCGTCATTCTATCTTCATCAGCTCGAACTATCTCGTACGCCTTCAGTAAAATCCTCCATGCCAAAGAGAAAACTATCGCAATCAAACCCCAAATCCTGGAAAATGTGGTCGAACAGGGACCCAGAGGTGGCCTCCTCGAGCGGCATCCCCCCAGTCACATCCGGAGTGGGATACTGCGTCTCCAGGATCCGTGTCGAGAGCAGTTCAAAGGTCCGGATGCACTGTTGGACGTAAATACTCAAATGCTCATGTGCGCGGAGGGCCGATATGACATCTCTCCACGACTGCGACACCGATGTGGTGAACAGGTCCGCTTCGAACATGGCCGCTAGAAAGTTGGTTCCCGCAATATGTAGATAATATACTCGATACCACCAAGGCAGGAGACCCATTGGTTCGTTTGGCTCCAGCGTCTCGATGATCAAGGAGGTGAGCTTCTGCGCGGTTTCCACACACATTCCGGCGCATTCTCTGAGAAGACGATCGCTTAGGCTTGGAGGGATGGGCTGTGCCTGGACTGTAGCTGGGTGGGATTTCAGAGAGTAGAGACGTGCGAGCATAGGTCTGTACAGGACGATTCGAGAGTGAAGGAGCCTGTACACCGGTGTTAGTAGGCTGTTTTCTCTACTTTCTGACTATATTTTGTCAACGAGACGGCAGTTGAATTAGTTGCATACCGAAGATGAAGTACATATCGCTCTGCTCGGGAAGCCCTATCAGCAACCTTCCCCAGGTTATCCAACTTCCAGTCGCTGGGGAGATCATTCTCCCATTTGTTGAGACAGGCATCTAGCTGCACCGCCACGGAGTGGTAGTCGTCCTGTTGATATAGACGTGGCAGCCCCAATCTGGCAGCGAGAGGATTCCGTGTCTGTGTCTGTGCCAACTGAATCTGATTGCCAATTTCATGCAGCTCTCGTGAAAGATGCCCCGCATGTCTACCGCCCTGTAGGTAGCTCGCGCTTGTAGACATGGAGTCGGCCCTGTTCGGTAAGGAGATCAAGGATGGTGCTGATGTCCGGCCAAGGGACCAGGAGACGCAGCTTGGCGAGTCAGCATAACTGCAGGCGACACTCCTTTCTGTGTGTCTGTGGTACATACCGGTCTAGAGCCACACAGCCGGCCCATACCTGTTCTTTCAACTGCCTGTCAATAGAAGGATGCTTGGCTGAAGACCCCTCGGGTAGATGGCAACAGATGCTCTGCGCAATGCGTATTGCCAACCCCGCTGTCATCCATGTCTTCACTTGGTTGCTGGTGCAGTGGAGGTATCGATTCATGAGCATCAAACATTGGACCAGCTCAAGCGTTCCAGGCTTCCATAGAATTGTCTCCGGTCGGAGAAGCACCCACGCGCGTTGGAAAAAGCGGCTCCCCTCTTCGTCGCGCTGTTGCGGAGGGATGGATTCTTGTCTCTGCACTGCCAGGGCAAAGACGACATTGAGGATGCTTAGCCAGACGTCATGTTCTGCGTGGAGCAGTGCGCCAGACCGAGAGTACGTCGCCTCATAGTCGTGTAGGAAACGTTCTCGGCTCAGGACAGGTTCCACCGGATCGACGTATTGCCAATATATACAGACAAGCCTATCAGCGTGAGCGCGGGGAGGCAGTTCCATTGCGGAGTTTAGACCATTATACGGGAAGTGCAGGTCTAACACCCCAAACAAGGGTGCATCCACGAACGGGACGAGGTTTGAAGTAGCGGCCGGGACGAGCCCTGCTCTCACATCTATTGCGGCTGCGACTTCACCAGCAAACTGCCCATGGGTGCTGTAGTACGCACGGTTTTGATCCCGGTCAAGCTCCGGCTCTTGGTCTTCGTCGGCCTGTTCCGATCTGGACGAAGGTCCAGACGTCGAGGGTGTCGAAAGCGAGCAAGCTCCCAAGTTAGGAGACGAGGCCGGGACGGGAGAATGACTGCGGATTATTGGTGCCTTTGGGACCAGGGGTTTGCGCTTGGTTTGTCGCTCGACGGCGTTGGAGTCAATGCTGTACGTACATGCCTTTCCTCCTCGCAAGCATCTAGTACAGGCTGTGAATGGCAATATCAGTCAGTCAGTTTTATAGGAACATCTAATAGGAGAACATGATGAATGGGTCAAGGATACCCGGACGACCGCCATCACATTTCGCCTTCCTCAAGCGACAAGCCTGGCACGCGGTGGAGATTTTTAACCGTTCCCTGCGTAATGGTCCCAAGGAGGTGTTTTGATGGTTTCTCATATCTAGAGACTTCTTCATTACATTAACTCACCCAGTTGTCCTTGAGGTTTCACTCAGATAAAGCTTACATGAACTAAGGCGGTGGAGTTGGAGATTGTCCACACTTTGGCGGCACGGGGGACAAAGCATGCATTAGTTAAGGCATTATACGACAAGTGCCAATCATATTATGATCCGTCCAGGCATAACCCCATAGCGGAAAGACATACAATTGGCTTAAGGCGATGTCCTAAATGTCAGCCAGCCAGTCAGCTTTCCTTCCGCGCATCGAATAGTGCCAGCATGACAGCCAATGAAACAGAGGTCCGCTTCTGTATGTTCTTTTGAAACTGACAACATCAGCTATAAATCTCCAATACCAGAGAAATTTATGCGATGGACATGCTACATCCTTATTGTCACTTGTTTCTTCACTGAGTTCCTTTCATAGACCTTGACCGCTCAGTGCTGGAAGTATGTCTCAACAAGCTGAATCCAAGATATCAGCGGACCCCGAGGTCAAGCAATCTCCTATCTACGATGGTCAAGGCACCGAGGAGGACCCTTTTATAGTTGAATTCCAAAAGGATGATCCAGGAAACCCAATGAACTGGTCTCAGTTCAGGAAATGGTTCATCACGGCGATTGTGACCTTCTCTGTCTTTGCCATCACCTTCACGTCTTCGGCATACTCTGCTTCCGCAAACGAGCTCATTCCAGACTTCAGTATGAGCACAGAGGTGTTTACCGTCGGCCTCTCCCTCTTTGTTCTTGGGTTTGCAATTGGCCCAGCTGTATGGGGCCCCTTGGTAAGCAGCATTCTATTTGAAGGCCTTAACAGACCCGCTGACAATCCATTTCTCTTTAGTGAGTCCCTCCCATCTTAGATACAGGTACCTTCCAACTTAACCGTACCTTGCTAGATCCGAACTATACGGAAGACAAGCTCTCTGGATCGTCTCGCACGTCGCCATGGTAGCCTTCATCGGAGGTTCCGCTGGAAGTCACAATGTTGCCACCCTCCTGGTGCTGCGATTCTTCAGCGGCACATTTGGCGGCTCACCGCTGGTCAACTCGGGCGGTGCTATCGCAGATATCTTCCCTCCAGCTCAGAGAGGCCTCGCCATGACACTGTATTGTGTCGCACCATTTCTTGGTCCCATCCTTGGCCCTATCGTCGGCGGATTCGTCTCCGAAAACGTTGGATGGAGATGGGTGCAGGGCGTGTGCTGTATCTTCATCGGGGTGATTGGTATCATCGGCGTCATCTTTGTCCCGGAGACATACGGGCCGGTGCTCCTGATTAGGAGGGCAAGCCGACTTTCTAAAGCTCACGGTAAGGTCTACATTAGTATCCTCGAAAAGAACCAAGGCAAGAAGAAGCCGTCGGAGGTCTTCCAGCGAGCTCTCATACGCCCCTGGGTTCTGCTCTTCCGGGAGCCGATCGTGCTGGTTGCCTCGCTCTACATGGCCATTATCTACGGCACCGTCTACATGTTCATGAGCGCCATGCCTATCGTCTACAACGAACAACGTGGCTGGAGCGAGGGCATCGGCGGGCTCGCCTTCATGGGTATCGCTGTCGGCATCATCATCGGACTAGTCTACGCCATCTACGATAACAACAGACGCTATACGAATCTACTACTATCAAACACAGCCACTGCCGAATCGCGCCTTCCACCCGCCATCGTCGGCGCCGTCGCCCTACCAGTCGGCATGTTCGCCTTCGCCTGGACCAATAACCCCCGCATCCACTGGTCCGTCAGCATCATCCTCTCTGCGCCCTTCGGCTTCGGCTGCGTCCTCGTCATCCTGCCGATCGTCAACTACCTGATTGATGCGTATACCATCTACGCGGCGTCTGTTCTTGCAGCTGCAGCCATCTTCCGCTCGATCGTCGGGGCTGTGTTTCCCTTGTTTACGACCCAGATGTACAGCAGTCTTGGGATTCACTGGGCGAGTTCCCTACCGGCCTTTTTGACGGTAGCTTGCATGCCGTTTCCGTTGGTCATGTATCGCTATGGTGGGGCGCTGAGGATGAAGTGCAAGTATGCGTTCGAGGCTGCGGAGATGATGAGGCGGATGCAGATGCAGCGGGTCCCTGCTCCAGTCAAGGAGGAGGAAGATTCCCCTTCTGAGTGAGGGACGGTAGATTTGGACTCGAAGCGTGTCAGTGGCAGTTGTGGACGTGGTCAGGGGAACAGATTTCATGCACTACGGAGGGAAATAGATTGCCGATATTAGAACAACCGTGTTGACCGTAGCATATCAGTCGCAGCTGTCGCATAGCCTTATTAGACGTAGATAGACTAGAGATCAACACGAGACACTCCTTCAGGAATAGATGTCTATTTGTTATTCGCTGATTGACATGTACAGTTCCTTGAATGTCGTACAAGTCTATCTAAGCTAAAATATAGGTGAGGAATCGAGGATTAAAATATATACACGATTTTGTTTCGAGGAACCATCATACACAGACTGGTGCTGGTGCCGTGATAGCGACCGACCGGGGTCAAGTCTACCGACTCGCCCCGAATTTCCTCGCGATTTCCACCTCTGTAAACTTCCTCGTCTTACTCTGCAGCATAGCCGCTCTCTCCTCGATCGACATGGAAATCTGATCGCCCATCGGGACGAGACACTTGGCCAGATGCGTATAGTCCTTCCGGATGAGCCGGTAGGTGATCATGAGATAGTCGATATTGCGGAAGACCAGCGCATGCTCGCTGGCGTAGCGGTCTTTTTGCTTCAGAAACGCCACCGGGTGCTCGCGCCAGTGACGGCGGGGGTTGAGATGGTGAGAGGTGTGGTAGCCGTCATTGAAGCAGAAGCGGTTACTCTGGTATTGTTAGCGGCGGTAGTCAAATGGTAGGCAGGAAATCGTACCGGAACATCAATCAGGGTGATACTAGATCTGAAATCCGAGTTGGGGTCTGTCTCGTCAACAAAGGCGTGCTGCCCCCAGTTGCCGATCATCAAGCCCAACCGGAGGAGAAACAAGGGGAGGATGAAGACGAAGAGCGTTGCACGAGGATTGACGAAGCGATACATTCCGTAGATGAAGAGGTAGTTTCCGATCTCCCAGGAACCCGCCTTGAGACCTTGGAGGAACTGGCCTTTCCGGAAGAAGTAGCTCGGAAGCTCAAACCACACGAGGAAAAGAAATCGGCCGACATAGCACAGAAAATCGTACAGCTCGTCTCGTTGGAACCTGACTGTCGAGGATAAATCGTCAGGCCCATTCCCTTCCACGTGATGATGCTTGACGTGGTGGTAGTAGTACGAGTTCCACGTATGTCCCATGAGAGGATTGGTGATGTAGGGAAAGAGCGAGTCAAAGAGCCAGAATCGCTTGGCTAGGATCCCGCCCATGTGGATGTGCTGGTGCATCATGAGCGTGTAGGTTCCCACGTAGTACGACTGCATGATCCAGTGAAAGACGCCATGGATCCAATTGAAGTGATAGTACAGGTAGAGTGCACTAGGGACGGACGTAGTAAAGTAGAGGATGAGATGCGTGAGCATCACAACGTCAGTTTCTACACGAACGACTCTCCGTCCCAGCTGGATGTACGGCTGGAGGAGCCATTGGTTGACAGCAGACGGGAGTTTGGCCTTGAGATCAGCAGTGTCCCAGGTCACAGTGACCGTAGGCTCAAAGTCAACATGCTGAGGATTGTTGAAGGCTTCCAGTTGCTCGGGGACAGATTTGTATTGCGAGTTGTGGTGGGATGGGATATATTTGAGGGTCTCAGCGGATCATAATTTCGAACATGGACAGGGAATGTCTACCTTGAACGACGGGTTTCGAGCCGGATGATTGTGCCTGAACGTCCGAGAGCAGAGTCTGCAGAACCAGGAGGTCCGACCGAGTCAGATTCGGGTCAATATAGCTGTCGGGTTCCATCATGACCCATTGACCGGCAGATGCTCGGTATGATTTAGGACTGGGTTGTGGTGTGTAGAAAGGAAGACTTGGCTCTTTTAACTTCGCCAGAGAGAAATCGGATGGCAATTTTCGGAGAAAGTGAAAAGGAGACGGAGTGGGTCTTGCTGATGGACGCCATTGAACGCTGATCGAGCACGGATTGAGCTTATCAGGGAGAGCTTTGCTCTATTAATATCTGTGGATTGTAGTATTGATGAAGGAATCGCAGAGTAAGTGAGCTTGACTGAAAAGTCTGAAGGATAATACCAGACAGAGTGTACTCTGTAGAGAAGAGAATAAAAGTGGCAAACACGTCAGCCTACGCCAAGAGCTATCACATGTATCGTATGTCGAGTCAGCACTAATTTAATATCAGATGCAGAGCTCTTTAATCATGATTCGACAGCAGTAGTAATGGATCGAGGTAAATAATAGCTCGTGTGTCATTGACATCATGACATCTAGTTATTACCGATAATTGTTCCGATGGAATGATGGACATTCCCCTGGCAATAACATCACGTGGTGCACTGGCCAACTGGCCATCTTCAAGTTCTGTGCAACTGATGACCCCCTACAAATAGTAGTATTTTCCGGGATTCTAGATGTTCCCCTGAGGCCTGAGCCCTGTTCCTATTGACTACCTGAGGAGATTGGAAAATAGATGAAAGGATCAAAGAGGATTAAAGGACACCTTTTGGCGCTCAATGTCCCCTGATGATTGACCAATCACAGCCTGTCTTTATCAATGGGTGGATAACTGCTATGATCGATCGAGATTAGGGCTTCTACTAGGTTCAACCTGGCAAGACACGGAAAATTCCAACCGCATATTCAGGGGACTTTCGCCTGTTGAGCATTTTTTTGTTGGATATGGTTGAACCAC